ACCTATGTGTCGTGACCTGTGTATCGTGACCTATGTATCATGACCTATGTATCCTATGTATTGTGACCTATGTATCGTGACCTATGTATCCTATGTATCGTGACCTATGTATCGTGACCTATGTGTCGTGACCTATGTATCGTGACCTGTGTAACGTGACCTATGTATTTTGACCTATGTATCGTGACCTATGTATCGTGACCTGTGTATCGTGACCTGTGTATTGTGACCTATGTATTGCGACTTATGTATCATGACCTATGTGTCCTGACCTGTGTATCATGACCTATGTATCCTATGTATCGTTACCTATGTATCTTGACCTATGTATTGTGACCTGTGTATCGTGACCTGTGTATCCTGACCTATGTATCGTGACCTGTGTATTGTGACCTATGTATCGTGACCTATGTATCGTGACCTGTGTATCGTGACCTGTGTATTGTGACCTATGTATCGTGACCTATGTATTGCGACCTATATATCATGGCCTATGTGTTGTGACCTGTGTATCATGACCTATGTATCATGACCTATGTATCCTATGTAACGTTACCTATGTATCGTGACCTATGTATCGTGACCTGTGTATCGTGACCTATGTATCGTGACCTGTGTATCATGACCTATGTATCATGACCTATGTATCATGACCTTTGTATCCTATTACAATTTATGAAAGGTACTCTTGATGACATAACTTTCATATCGCTAATCATTAATATTTCTTCCCTTCAAAGATAATTCTTAATGTCGATCTTTTTTTGCCAGACCCAGTTATTGAGCTATCAAAACAGTACCATGGAACTGGGATTCAGAACTGTGAGTGAGTGAGTGAGTGAGTGAGTATGGCTTTACGCCACTCTTAGCAATATTCCAGCAATATCACAGTGAGGGACACAAGAAATGGGCTTCACACATTGTACCCATGTCAGGAATTGAACCCAGGTCTTCGGCGTGATGGGCTAACACTTTAACCACTAGGCTACCCAACCTACCCTACTGTTAGAAGAAACACCAACAGAAACAGTCCATAGAAATCAAACGCATGCGCACTGTGTCAACGTGTCAGTCCAATACTGTTGAAACATGAAGAGTTTTTTTTGGTTTGGTTTGTTGTTTTACGCTACACTCAGCAATATTCCAGCTTTATGACGGCAGTCTGTAAATCATCGTGTATAGACCAGACAAGCCAGTGATTAACATCATGAACATTGATCCACGCAATTGGGATCGATGACATGCTTCAACCAAGTCAGCGAGCCTGACTACCCGATCCTGTTTGTCGCCTTTCACGACAAGGATAGTCGCCTATTACAGCAAGCATGGTTTGCTGAAGACTTATTCTAGCCCGTATCTTCACGGGTCGAAACATGAAGTAAACAGGTTACTGGTCTGTTATTACCTCACGTGGTGGTGATAAACTTATGACAGGTACGTGTAAAGATAGGAAAACTATCAGGGAGTACAACAATATCAACTTCTTAATCAGAAGCCACCGGCAAATTATTTCTTTTCAATCTCAGAAAAACATGAGTGGTAATTGGCCACCAGTCTGAGTAGGATTTATGTGTGAGTGATTTTTGGTTTAACTTCGCTCTGAACAGTATTCGAGTTATATCGCGGCGTGTCAGCTTAACATGGGGTTAAGCCCGAAGTCATGCAGGTCTGAGACGTTTACCACTTCGGTGAAACCCACGAGCCCGGCTATGGTGCTGATAAACCTAGAAACATAATCGGGGCAAACCTGGATTTGAACCCACAATCATAGGTTTCTGGCGAGTCCAAGGGACGCAACTCTGCACAGCTAATGCGGCGCCTTAGACAATTGGGCGTCTGTCTGTGAATAGGATTTATGAAGGTGGTGTCCTCAGCCATGATGTAGGGTCATGTCTCGACTCTTGGCACAACCTTCTTACTTAAGGGGTGCCCACCTCATGTCAGCTTACAAAGTTGCTGTGCTTATTAGCTCTCAATGCCTGTCATAAGTGTGTGTCAAGTATTATGGTGCTAACAAACTACTTGAGCACATAGATCGCCATATTTTGTGCAAAGGTTGCTGTGCTGTGATTCCGTAAATTCTGAGACAACCCACTCAAAACACTGGATTCAATCCATGCCACTTCACTCAATATATTTGCGCGTTCAGTTCCAAATTCAATTTAGCACGGTAAAATATCCTGGTATCTACATTGAAGACCCGTGAAGATCCGAGGTAGAATAGGTCTTCAGTAACCCATGCTTGCCGTAAAAGGCGACTATGCTTGTCGTAAAAGGTGACTAACGGGATCGGGTGGTCAGGCTCGCTGACTTGGTTGATGCATGTCATTGGTCCCAATTGCGTGGATCGATGCGCATGATGTCAATCACTGGATTGTCTGGTCCAGACTCGATTTTTTACAGACTGCCATCATATACAGTCAAGTCTCGTTAATCCGACACTCGTTAATCCAACACTCGGCTTTATCCGACACAAATGATGGGAACCGATTGATTCAGTGCTATTTAGTCGCGTTAATCCGACATTCTCGCACTCCGACTCCGACACACCTAATTTGCAACGAATTACCGAAATCACTCATTAATTAGTCTCGTTATTCCGACACAGTGGTCAGCGTACTCCGTGGTCATCTGCCCGCGAGTACACTACCCCGTGTTTTGACACACACTGGCTGCAGAGATTAACTTAACAATTAACAGGAAAAGCTATTCAAACCTGTATGTACAAAGCTATACAAATGTAGTTTACAAATTGAAGCCAGATAAATGTGCATGAAGCCAGTTTAAAATACGAACAGGTATATAAAACATGGTCGACTCACCATGGTCGACTGGTATGTAAACAAGAAAGCATGGATGACTTCATTAATATTCAAAGCCTGGCTACTGATCTTGGATCGGCAAATGCGATTGGAGCGACGCCACGTGGTATTGCTGTTGGACAATGCCCCATCCCATGCTACTGTCGACATAACTAATGTGAAATGTCACTTTTTGCCACCAAACACCACATCGCACATTCAGCCACTAGATGCCGGGATCATAAAGAATTTCAAGCTTTATTATAAGAAACAGCAAATGAATTACACCTTGCAACCACAAGCCCTAGACGTCAAGCGGGCAGGGGACTTTGAGAAATGTGCCTTCAAAATGTTAGAAACAGAAAACACTGACAGACTATTTTAAGTAGATGAAGCAAGTTGTTAAGACAGTAGCACTTGCATTTACACGAGGAAACGTGTGTCGTTCATGTGATATATTCAGTGAGTAATGTCTCTATTGTTATGTATAAATGGGAAAATTATTATTATTTTTGCACCGTCATTAATTATAAATTAAGGAATGAATGAATAAACAACATAACACTATTAATATTTCGTTTTTAACGATTTTATTACAAGGTACACACGGTTATTATCTATCGTGAAGACCTCCGATTTTCGATCACAAATCAATTAATTTCGTTCATCCGACATACTCGTTAATCCGACACAATCATGTGCAACCAACAATGTCTGATTAATGTGACTTGACTGTAGCTGGAATATTGCTGAGTGCGGCGTTAAACAACAAACCAACCAACCAAAAACCAACATTGAAAACACAGTTTGTTTATCTACTAATTAACTATGTTAGGCATTGGTCTTGCAAACACGAGTTTGTAAACAACATTTCCAATTTTTGTCTATTCATATCTAAAACAGTTGTTGTCGTCAGTTAAGTTAACTTGTATGTAGCGATGTGGCAAGCAGTAGATTAATATAGGTCATAATCATAGATTTAAGTCGGATTGATGACATCATGACATCATGAGCATTGATCCATGCAATTGGGATACAATGACAAGCATCAACCAAGTCAGCGAGCCTGACCACCCGATCCCGACAGTCACCTCTTAAGACAAGCATAGTCGCCTTCTACGACAAGCATGGGTTGCTTAAGACCTATTCTACCCCGGACCTTCACGGGTCGATGAATAATTAACAAAATAAGAAAACTGCGTCATCTTATTACATAATGTCGTATCTAACAGAAGCGGTGATGAAATTATTGTTTTTAAAATGAAGGTGTATCCATTGAATTCCCCTAAGTCCCATATTCCAAAAATTATCACAACCAATATATTTGTAAAGTTGATGAGACCAGGAAGCAATAGACGAGTAACGTGTGGCTTTGTGGATGTATGTAAACAGCTCCAGTCACACCTGTGGATGGTTGACTTCATGAGCTACGGTTCGCGCCGTAAGATGACACAGACAGTTCATATAGGAGGCGGGGGAGCCCCCTCCGGCCCAGGAAGACTATAGGGCTGGGACGGGTAACTCGGGTACCCACAGGACTCCCCGGACCCGTGGTTAGTCACGTGATGTATTGTTTATAGACAAAAATTACCTAGAACTCTATGGTTAGACTACAAGTCACTAATGTTCGCATTTCTTTCTGACTATGCACCCATTCCTTCTGATTTTTCATATGGTTGAATAAAGATATAACTTGATTCAATTTCAGTGTATGAATGACCAGACTGTTTAATACATGTATCTAAATACGTTTTGCCAGGGCTATGCTAAAAATGTTCCCAATCAGACATTTTGAGACATCTCCTGAGACCTACAGTGGGAACCCGGGTAGTGTCGGGTAATAGGGGGGTGGGTACCCGGGTAGTATATTTGGACTCGTCCCAGCCCTAGAGACTACACACTATTGCTATTGTCTCGGTAAAATCTTCCGTAAGAGTTCCTTTTGTTCCTCCCACCTGTTTTTTTTAATTATATTCCATACGCACTCAACAGGTTTATAACGAAAAAAAACAGGCGGGGGAAACGAAAGCAACTCTTTCCGTCAGTTGTCTGCGAGTGTCGGTAGTTTGATCAATCATCACTAAACTCCCCATTTAAGCAATGTCATCTGTCACTTTAACGGTAAATCAAGAAACAAGGGTTCAAGGGTCATTAAAAACTCATCCAGTGGCCAAAACAATGAAAGGGTTTCATAATTACCTCGTTTTTCAATGTGTCTGACATTACATTCGCAAAGCAGCGGCCATGTTTTTTTCACTTTCACACCACGTGCGAGATGTGATGTTCACGTGCTATTTTGGACATTGGCACCGCCCAATTCTAGCGAAAGGGCCGCTTCAGTTTGTTTTAATTAGTATCTTACGTTGAAATCTATTTATACTTTTTTTTTCATTCATAATGTGAGTAAAACAGTATGTATTCTTAATATAAATAACATTCAAGTATGTTTGTAAAGTAATATATATTTATTCAGATTAATATTACTCTGACTATGCTATTGGACTTGTGGAATATATATGAACCTCCACAGCCACTCGATCATCGCAGATTTTCCCTTAACGTCTTTCTTCCATCACAAAAATACTGGTCACTCTATCATTATAATGTATTTTCAGAACATTAACCTTTTAACTTCAATCTATTTATTTATTTATTTTCAATCATGAGAAACGCGATGCACCAATGCAAATATTCACACATTCGTACATCAGTTGATAATGTCCCAATTAAAACAAGCAAAACGCTTCTGATATATATCTGATAAAGGGGGAACGTAATTCAATCAACTGAACATATCTTGATTACCAAACGGCCCGTAAAGATCCGGGGTAGAATATAACAGTATCTCGGGGGCAACCCATGCTTGTCGTAAAAGGCGACTAACGGGATCGGGTGGTCAAGCTCGCTGACTTGGTTGATGAACATCATCGTATCCCGATTGCGCGGATCGATGCTGATGATATCAATCACTGGATTGTCTGGTCCAGACTCGAATATTTACAGACCGTCGTCTTATGGCTTGAATATTGATGAGTGCGGCGTTAAACAACATGAAACTGAAACTAATGTCCAGGTCAACAGTTACATATCGGTTCTCCATTCCCACAGTTCTGATAGTCGAGTGCTTTTTTCTTAGGGTGATTGGGAAAGAAGCTGCTTCATTTCAATATCATGTTACTGTTATTTGTGTTTCCTCCATCCTCGATCATCCAGGGTACTATATATCCTATATTAGGTCGGGAGGTGATGAAATAAACTGTTTGATTTCAATATCACGTTGTCGTTTTTTGTGGGCTTTTTGCACCCTCGATTACCCAGTGTACTATATTCACTATTTTAGTTAGGGTGAGAGAAAATGTTTCATTTCCAGAATGTGCGTGTCAGCGTCACTTGTGTTTTGACCGCCTCCGTGGTCTAGTGGTAGAGCGCCCGCCCAGAGAGCGGTAGGTCCAGGGTTCTATTCCCGGCCGCGTCATACAGTGAGCGAGTTTGGTTTTACGCCGCTTTTAGCAATATTCCAGCAATATCACGGCGGGGGTCTTCGGCGTCACGAATGAACGCTTTAACCACTAGGGTACCCGACCGGCCGGCCGCGTCATACAATCAACGTCATACAAAAAGACGTTAAAAGATGGTACTTGTTGATGCCTTGTCTGGCGTTCGGCATTAAGGGGCTAAAACAAGGACTGGTCGGCTCGGAGACAGTATACTGTGTCTGAGTGGGGTATTCATGTTAAACTGCGGTAAGGTATCTCAGTGGGCTAGCACTATAAATCGGCATCAGTCCGGACTAGTACAAGCAGCCACACACACACACACACACGTGCATGCACGTCGCTATATAAGTGTAATAATCTTGGACCGCATTTCACCTCACATCATTTGTGTTTCGTTACAGAATAACTACAATTGATGTGGTTATGTTCGAATCAACCGACTGTCGTGCTCCAGGTGAAGCAGAGATAGGGTATGGGCGGTAGGGCAGACAAGTGGTGAAAGCGTTCGATCGTCACTCCGAAGGCCGGGGTTGATTTCCCACATTGGTACGAAGCCCATTTCTGATGTCCCCCGCCGGGATATTGCTGGAATATTGCTAAAAGTGGCGTAAGTATGGCGAATATTGGCATTCAGCGAACCGTATGTGAGTGAGTGTGTGAGTTGGGTTTTACGCCACTTTTAACAGTATTCCAGTTATATCGCGGCATGTCAGCTTAATGTGGGAGAAAAGCCCGAAGTGATGCAGGCCTCAGACGTTTACCACTTCGGTGAAACCCACGAGCACGGGTATGGTGCTGACAAACCTAGAAACATAATCGGGGCGAACCGGGATTCGAACCCACAATCATAGGTTTCTGGCGTGGCCAAGGGACGCAACTCTGCACAGCGAATCGCGGCGCCTTATACGACTGGGCCAGCCGTGCCCCCTCGAGCCGTATGTGTCCTGGCTGGTAGTCGTGACACTGTGTTGACTCATGTCGAGATTTCGGAAGAATCTCCAAACTACATTTCGTCGGTAGTGTTCATGTTTGTGTGTCATCCGTCATTCCGTTGTCTGTGTCTCGCTGGGTATTCCGAGGCAGGCAGGTGTGCGGGTCACGTGTGCGGATCACGTGGTCACACTGCGTTATCTGCTTCAGTGTGTACAGGATATTGTGCTCATGCTATCAATCACTGGTCTGTCTTGTCAACACACGATCCGTGATATTGGTGCTTGCGACGTTTACAATATTCAATCGTTCACTCAAGTGAGTGTGTCAAGTAATATATATTTATAATATACACACGTGCTGCATTCCCAGGCCAAACAGGGAATCGAGAAATGATGTGAAGGTCTAGTTCTCACTGTACAATTTGCCACGTCACGCACGTGCAGTAACGTATTCAAACGTGCTTAAAACTATCCCTTTGCCCGTTAGATATAGGTGAGGTGAGGTGAAATTGGGTTTAACGTCGCGTCCAGGATTATTGCACTTATATAGCGACGTGCATGCATGTGTGTGTGTGGCTGCTTGTACTAGTTCGGACTGATGCCGATTTATAGTGCTAGCCCACTGAGATACCATGCCGCAGTTTAACATGAATACCCCACTCAGACACAGTTTACTGACTCCGAGCCGACCAGTCCTTTGTTTGAGGCCCTTAATGCCGAGCGCCAGACAGGGTAACAACAAGTACCATCTTTTAACGTCTTCTGGTATGACGCGGTCTGGGATCGAACCCCGGACCTTCCGCTCTCCGGGCGGACGCTCTACCACTAGACCACGGAGGCGGTCCCAGTTAGATATAAATAAAAGCGACAAAAATAATTCCATAATCATAAGAAATCTCAACTAAAACAGAATCCCGGGAACGAATCTGACTATATCATGAGCATGTGTTTATGAATCACTGTCAATAGTGATGATACCGGGCGAAAATGTGAGCGTACCCTGCCCCACCGGTGACGCCTGTCACAAATACACGCAAAGGCAAGTCATGTGTTGAAAAAATACGGGAACATAATTGATGGCACTAGTTAAAATAAGGAATTGCATCAAACATTATTTTTGTCACTGATCCGTCAAATTTGGATACACATTCGGAATACACACAACAGAGAAACAATGCAATCAGCATGTGACGTCACAGTTGACCTAGTTAGCACTTCACAACGACAGTGAGATTCCTGGTGGTCAGAGGATAAATCTGTGTCACGCACAAATAAATATATGTAACCGAAAATAGTACTTTGTATTTTGATTTGATACACATTCGGCCTCGTGGTCTACACGTGTCCATTCAGCACGGAAACCCCGTGCAGTCTTCTAATAACATACTTAATTAACTCATAATACTGACACAAAGGGAATAACACGTGATTTCATTCCAGCCATATCCATCTTCCCGAGGCAAGGGAGTTAACTGAAGTCCAGTTTCCACCCTTGCCGAACTAGGCTGGAATTTCTGGGCCCGATCGTAGCGCCGACAGTGGCTATTACGACTCGTGTCCCTTCTATTCCCTCCAATTGACCAATAATTAGATTCCACCTCTCATATCACTTGCATTTGCTTCAAACAAATTGGCGGTCAAGTCAAGACGATCTGATCGATGATTAAGATATACTTTGTAATAACACGAGTCTTACCCCACGAAGTGCATCAAATCACGTGAGCACCTTCATTAAAGATTTGGAAAATATATGTCATTACGGGTCACGTAAGAACGACATTTTCATCCGACCAATCAAAGCGTCGCTTACCAGATCATGAAAGTGACAGTCAGAATGTGTTTTCTAATCATGCAACCTCGAAATCGTTAAACGTCTATCTCTAGGGATACACATGTAAACGACATTAGACATTCCGGAGTGTTCGTTTGTTCAGTTTTCAAAATTTTAATCGAGAACTGTGTCAACATATTTTTCAAGCGTAGTCTGAAATGGAAGTCGAAAGGTTAGAACGAGTGCCCTAAAGCTCGAGAAAGCTGCTTTCTCATTGGCTGATATCGACTTCTTGTTATTCGTTTCAGTGGTCGGTCAAAGATCGCAAAAGGTCGTTTAACGTGACCCGTAATGGGATGTCCTCAGATCTTTGTTAAGCGACAGCGAGAACTTATTGGATCTGATTTAATGAGAATGTCGCCCAGTTTACGCTACACACCAATTACAAGTCCTGCAGTCGACCGAAATATGCACGTTGAAATCCATGTTGTTTAAGAACCGGATGTCTAGTTCGTAACGCGGTTTTGATTGGACTATGCATAGACTCGTTAGTCCAGCCAAAATACAACTCCATAATTGCAGCCTTGTTCGGCAAGGGTGGAAACTGGACTTTTACAGTCAGTTAACTCCCATGCCTCGGGAAGATGCGCCATATCTGATTCCGTGGACTTGTTGATGAAGTGAAGTGGGCGCCCAGCTCATGGCGGCTACCGGTAGCTGTTCCGTCTGAAGCTTGGCGGGGGACGCTGAGATTTGTCTGTCACGTTACCTTCACCTGGTGAACACAGACAACAACATTTACAATCTGCTAGCCAAATATGACACCGTATACGGCAACTAAAGACACCATAGCTAATATTATTGTGCCTCAAAGTGAGATTGACCAATCAGAGAGAAGAACTAATAACCCCACAGGAGCCCGTATACCGTCGGTAAAAATCCAAGATGGTTGTAACTGACCTAATATGAGACAGAATACCGTCAGTAACAGCCATCTTGGATTTTCCAACACCCACCTCACATATTTCACATGAACATTCGGGTACTGAAATTCTTTATTTGACACTGTTTAACACAAAGACGTTCGTGAATTTATTGATAAAAAGATGATAATTAAAATTGTCAACAAGGTTTGGCCTCTAAGGTTTGAAGAGTAGTCTCCCTTTGACCCTTAACGTCAACGTACGGTTGTAAGTGTCAAGTTTCCATTTTGACATGACACGTGCGATATGGATATCAGAAAGTGTAAACTTTTCGGCCTAATAAATTCGTTATGGTGTCTTTAGTTGCCGTATACGGTGTCATATTAGGTTAGCTGTAAAGAATATTGGGCTCCTAATATGACACCGTATACGGCAACTAAAGACACCATAACTAATCATACGAGCTCGCAACGCATACATCGCAAAGAACAATGAAGAACGACGCGTGGTCTATGACGTCAGCACTGATCCCCCTACTGCGTCAACAATGGTGAAGGAGAGGATTATTTAATTACATTGTCACACAGTGTACATACGTATAAGATAATACAAAACGTTCATCAATGTAATTTGTCCGGCAAAAATGTCCTACGAGAAACCAGAATCCAAATATATCAATAATAAAAGCACGTGATTTGTGCTAATATTTGTATTTGTAAATTGCGTGGATTGTACAATTCCGACTATATCACGAGCATGTAGTTATGAATCACTATCAAAGTGATAATACCGGTGTTCGCGAAAAGGTAAGCGTGTCCTGTCCCACCGGTGGCACCTGTCACCAACACATGCAAAGGCAAGTCAACTGTTCTCCCGAAAACAATATGGGAACATATAGTAAAGTCAAAATAGGGATTGCATCGGACATCATTTTTAAGTCACTTATGCGTCAAATTTGGAAATGTCCTCTGCATGTCTACTATAAAACGTTTTGACAGCTTTACTGAGGCCTTGAATGTTGTCACCTTGATCAAACAACTTCTGAACAAGAGTCGTATGACGCTCTTTAAAATATTGGTAGAAAGAGCATGCACGCATCTCAAAAGTTGCGAAATGTAAACACCAAAGGCTGGAGCTGCTGGAATATTGCTCGACATGAAGTGAAAGTTGACTGTTGGAAAGTTGAAATCATCCCTCTTGTCATAGTCGTGTGTTTTGTAACTCTGAATCTCCATGCATAGATCTAAACATGAAACAGGTGAGGCGGTCTCACTGGTCTCCTTTATCTCCAGTTCAGGTGGGTAAATTAGTGGAAGGGAATTAGCTATTTGATTGTTATTGAACGATAGAAGATCACCGATATGCCGGAAGCTTAAGTTAAACTTCGTGGCCAAATTACCTTGTTTTGACTTTGCCAATCCGAACAGAAATCCCGATTCATACGCAGGAAGAAACAGATCCGCAAGAAGGGGAGCACAATTGTCGCCCATGGGGATGCCTACTTCTTGCCTAAATGTCTTACCCCCAAATGTGACGTAGATGTAGATACAATCATTATAAACTGAAAAATATTCTATTGCGCAGTGAATTAGATTAGCAGCAGCGGGGAGGGGGGAAACAAGCAGATTATTCTGCATTATTGATGTGGTCTGGTCAACTGGTGTCTCGGCTGCAGTCACTACGCTTCATTGCCGGCGTCAACAGACGTGACTTGTATTACCTCAAACACGCTGTTGGTCCGTTGAACTTAGTCATTCCTTGTTTAAGAATTAACTTCAATATATTGTAAATCCGCGTACAAACGAAAAGAAAAACATATGAAAGTCAATTCTTATAAATAAATGCGTCCAGAAACTTCACAGATTGAGTACACAACAAGTCGACATGAGCGACATCTTTCCGCGCCATTATGCAACATAAGCTCCGCCCATTCTTTATGATGGTCGTGGCCTAATCCTTTTTGATTATCCAATTCTACATTTTGATTGGCCCGCTTGCGGTATTGAATCTACGTTTAACAATGATTATGGTAAAGGCAATTTAAGCACATAAAGTATTATTTAAAAGTACGAATTTTTTAAACCTGACCGTCAGGTAGTAACGCAATAATCAATTATAGCTGGAGCAAGTGTGGCAATATATTTCGTTTATGAATATTTTCCGTTTTTATGATCATAGATTGGATTTGATCTACATTTTGCAAGGCGAGGTATTTACTTCCCCAAAAGAACAAGCAAGGCACGCGCAGCTCGCGTTGATGAATAACTACCCTCAACATAATACCTGGGTCCGTACCTGGGTCCGTATTTATCAATTCCGGGGTAGAACAGGTCTTCAGCAACCCATGTTTGCCGTAAAAGGTAACTATGCTTGTCGTAAAAGGCGACTAACGGGATCGGGTGGCCAGTCTCGCTGACTTGGTTGATGTCATTTATTCCAATTGCGTGGATCGATGCTCATGATATTAATCACTGGATTGTCTGGTCCAGACTCGATTATTTACAGACCGCCGTCAAAAAGCTGGAATTTTGCTGAGTGCGGCGTTAAACATCAAACCTGGCGCCGTATTTATCAAACAACTACGAAGGATACGGTGACTTGTGAGGGAGTCAAGCGTTTGGAAGATAACCCTAGAGATAGTGGGTTGGCTCAGACCATGGTCATCACCATTACACATTTGAAATTTGCCAGTAGCAAGATAGCGCAAAGTGACAAGCACCTTGGTAACGCAGGACACGGCACAACTCCGCTGCGTAATGGGACTCAACTCCTGCTCAAGTATATCACAAATATAAACAATACTGTTCCTGTCAAAGCTGTAGCGCTGTATCAGTTCATTATCATCTAATGAATGTAGTATATCTCTTCTCTCATTAAATATTCTTGGATTACGTCTGGCAGCCATTTTGTTTTCCATGACTCAAGTCAAATATATATGATTTAAGTCTGGCAAGGTGAGTCTTAACGGTTAAGTAAAAGAAATGACAAAACTTAAGTCTGTTTTTTGTTAAATATGACTGAAGTTTTTTCACTAAAATTAAGTAAAGTTTTTTAACTGACTTAAGTTTTATTTAAGACTTAAGTTGTTTGATAAATACGGCCCCTGTTGCTTACTTTAGTATAGACGACCAGGAAGAAACTGCTGTTGGCGAGCTACAAAGCCACGAGCTATTGTCTACATACTCACGTGGTGTTGGGTGAACCTTCTCATGCTCGCGCAGGGACGAGATGACCACAACGGACAGGAAGACGGTTATGCCCTGGAACATGTATAATCAGTGCGACATCTGCTCATCGTGTTAGCAATCCATTACACAGTTTAATCATGTTTTGAAACGATAGCGTCTTCTAGGGGTATCCGGCAATACGGCCTGTAAGGACGGGTGTGCGCACCACCAAAAGAAACGCGAATATCACACATGCTGGTTAATATATGAAGACTTACTCATATTCAAGCGATATTAGATTGAATTGATGCACAAACGAACATACTGGTATGTTGTGTGAACCGATGCTCATGGACGCATCACATGTGACGTCATAGATCCTTGAATCGAGATGTACAATTTGTCTCGTGCAGGATTAACGTGTAAAGGTTGGAAATCACGTGCAGCATATCCTGATAAGGATAAAGACACAGTGGTAACACTTGACTGATTGTCACTTTTGCCATTAAGTGGTACACATAGGAAACATCTCTTCTTAACGTACAGGGCGGTCGGGTAGCTTAGTGGTTAAAGCGTTCGCTCGTCACGCCGAAGACCCGGGTTCGATTCCCGACATGGGTACAATGTGTGAAGCTCATTTCTGGTGTCCCCCGCCGTGATATTGCTGGAATATTGCTAAAAGCGGCGTAAAACCATACTCACTCACTCTTAACGTACATACTTCTCTATATGTTTCTATGGTTCGCGTTTCTTTTGGTGGCGAGTATACAATCCCTACAAATTACTGTTGCATGAAAAAATAAGACAAATCAATGTATAACACATACTGTTCTCGACTCAATGCGTGATTGACTTACAACTTCACATCCCATCATTATAAAGGCATATGTCCACGTGTACAAAACACACATTAAACAGAAAGGTAAATGAATAAAAGGTAAGAAAGTATCAGAAGTAGCGTTAGCCGTATATTTAGAACTGTGTTGTCCTGCATTTGGCGACGACAAAACTAGCAGTTGTCCCTCGGAGTTCTGGGGCACGGACTGCCCTGTCTTCTAAGACACCGAAATTCTCTGTACAGAGTTACGTCCCTTGTGCACGACAGAAACCTGTGATCGTGGGTTCGAATCCTGGTTCGTCCAAGTTACGTTTCTAAGCTTGTCAGCACCATACCCGTGCTCGTGGGTGAGTGAATGAGTTTGGTTTTACGCTGCTTTTACCAATATTCCAGAAATATCACGGCGGGGGACACCAGAAATGGGCTTCACACATTGTACCCATTTCGGGAATCGAACCCAGGTCTTCGTCGTGACGAGCGAACGCTTTAGCCACTAGGCTACCCGACCACCCCCCTTGCTCGTGGGTTTCACTAAAGTGGTAAACGTCTGAGGCCTGCATCGCTTCGGGCTTTGAAATACTGTTAAACGCCACACACTCACTCACTCCTTCACTCACTCACTCACTCACTCACTCACTCACTCACTCCTTCACTCCTTCACTCACTCACTCACTCACTCACTCACTCACTCACTCACTCACTCACTCACTCACACACTCACTCACTCACTCACTCACTCACTCACTCCTTCACTCACTCACTCACTCACTCACTCACTCACTCACTCACTCACTCACTCACTCACTCACTCACTCCTTCACTCACTCACTCACTCACTCACTCACTCACTCACTCACTCACTCAGCGGAGTTTAAGGTTGCAAAAGTGATTGTAACTTCCTTGTATTAGCTTGCATACATTTATATAGATATATTAGCCTATATTTCCTTCGCGGTACATACCGTTAAAGCAAATGAGTTAATTTGAGCATTAGGGGCGGTCGGGTAGCCTAGTGGTTAAAGCGTTCACTCGTCACGCCGAAAACCCGAGTTCGGTTCCCGACATAGTTGCAATGTGTGAAGCCCATTTCTGGTGTCCCCGCCGTGATATTCCTGGATTATTGCTAAAGGCGACGTAAAATGATACTCACTGATTGAGGTTTTAACCTGCACACACCAGGAGTGACGTGTTAACCTGCACACACCAGCAGTGACGTGTTTACCTGTATTGCACACACCAGGAGTGACGTGTTTACCTGCACACACCAGGAGTGACGTGTTTACCTGTATTGCACAGACCAGGAGTGACGTGTTTACCTGCACACACCAGGAGTGACGTGTTTACCTGTATTGCACAGACCAGGAGTGACGTGTTTACCTGCACACACCAGCAGTGACGTGTTTACCTGTATTGCACAGACCAGGAGTGACGTGTTTACCTGCACACACCAGGAGTGACGTGTTTACCTGTATTGCACACACCAGGAGTGACGTGTTTACCTGCACACACCAGGAGTGACGTGTTTACCTGCACACACCAGGAGTGACGTGTTTACCTGCACACACCAGGAGTGACGTGTTTACCTGTATTGCACAGACCAGGAGTGACGTGTTTACCTGCACACACCAGGAGTGACGTGTTTACCTGCACACACCAGGAGTGACGTGTTAACCTGTATTGGACACCAGCAGTGAAGTGTTTACCTGTATTGCACAGACCAGGAGTGACGTGTTTACCTGCACACACCAGGAGTGACGTGTTTACCTGTATTGCACAGACCAGGAGTGAAGTGTTTACCTGCACACACCAGGAGTGACGTGTTTACCTGCACACACCAGGAGTGACGTGTTTACCTTCACACACCAGGAGTGACGTGTTTACCTGTATTGCACACACCAGGAGTGACGTGTTTACCTGCACACACCAGGAGTGACGTGTTTACCGGCACACACCAGGAGTGACGTGTTTACCTGTATTGCACACACCAGGAGTGACGTGTTTACCTGCACACACCATGAGTGACGTGTTTACCTGTATTGCACAGACCAGGAGTGAAGTGTTTACCTGTATTGCACACACCAGGAGTGACGTGTTTACCTGCACACACCAGGAGTGACGTGTTTACCTGTATTGCACAGACCAGGAGTGAAGTGTTTACCTGCACACACCAGGAGTGACGTGTTTACCTGCACACACCAGGAGTGACGTGTTTACCTGCACACACCAGGAGTGACGTGTTTACCTGCACACACCAGGAGTGACGTGTTTACCTGCACACTCCAGCAGTGACGTGTTTACCTGCACACACCAGGAGTGATGTGTTTACCTGCACACACCAGGAGTGACGTGTTTACCTGCACACTCCAGCAGTGACGTGTTTACCTGCACACACCAGGAGTGATGTGTTTACCTGCACACACCAGGAGTGACGTGTTTACCTGCACACACCAGCAGTGACGTGTTTACCTGTATTGCACACACCAGGAGTGACGTGTTTACCTGTATTGCACACACCAGGAGTGACGTGTTTACCTGTATTGCACACACCAGCAGTGACATGTTTACCTGTACACATCAGCAGTGACGTGTTTACCTGTGTTGCACACACCAGCAGTGATGTGTTTACCTGTATTGCACACACCAGCAGTGACGTGTTTACCTGTATTGCACACACCAGCAGTGACGTGTTTACCTGCACACACCAGGAGTGACGTGTTTACCTGCACACACCAGGAGTAACGTGTTTACCTGCACACACCAGGAGTGACGTGTTTACCTGCACACTCCAGCAGTGACGTGTTTACCTGCACACACCAGGAGTGATGTGTTTACCTGCACACACCAGGAGTGACGTGTTTACCTGCACACACCAGGAGTGACGTGTTTACCTGTATTGCACACACTAAGAGTGACGTGTTTACCTGCACACACCAGGAGTGACGTGTTTACCTGTATTGGACACCAGCAGTGACGTGTTTACCTGTATTGCACACACCAGCAGTGACGTGTTTACCTGCACACACCAGGAGTGACGTGTTTACCTGCACACACCAGCAGTGACGTGTTTACCTTCACACACCAGCAGTGACGTGTTTACCTGTATTGCACACACCAGCAGTGTCGTGTTTACCTGTATTGCACACACCAGGAGTGACGTGTTTACCTGCACACACCAGCAGTGACGTGTTTACCTGTATTGCACACACCAGGAGTGATGTGTTTACCTGCACACACCAGGAGTGACGTGTTTACCTGTATTGCACACACCAGCAGTGACGTGTTTACCTGTATTGCACACACCAGCAGTGACGTGTTTACCTGTATTGGACACCAGGAGTGACGTGTTTACCTGTATTGCACACACCAGCAGTGACGTGTTTACCTGCACACACCAGCAGTGACGTGTTTACCTGCACACACCAGGAGTGACGTGTTTACCTGCACACACCAGGAGTGACGTGTTTACCTGCACACACCAGCAGTGACGTGTTTACCTGTATTGCACACACCAGCAGTGACGTGCTTACCTGCACACACCAGCAGTGACGTGTTTACCTGTATTGCACACACCAGCAGTGAAGTGTTTACCTGTATTGCACACACCAGCAGTGACATGTTTACCTGTATTGCACACACCAGCAGTGAAGTGTTTACCTGTATTGGACACCAGCAGTGACGTGTTTACCTGTATTGCACACACCAGCAGTGATGTGTTTACCTGTATTGCACACACCAGCAGTGACGTGTTTACCTGTATTGCACACACCAGCAGTGACGTGTTTACCTGCACACACCAGCAGTGACGTGTTTACCTGTATTGCACACACCAGGAGTGACGTGTTTACCTGTATTGCACACACCAGCAGTGACGTGTTTACCTGTATTGCACACACCAGCAGTGTCATGTTTACCTGTATTGCACACACCAGCAGTGACGTGTTTACCTGCACACACCAGCAGTGACGTGTTTACCTGCACACACCAGGAGTGACGTGTTTACCTTCACACACCAGCAGTGACGTGTTTACCTGTATTGCACACACCAGCAGTGTCGTGTTTAACTGTATTGCACACACCAGGGGTGACGTGTTTACCTGTATTGCACAAACCAGGAGTGACGTGTTTACCTGCACACACCAGGAGTGATGTGTTTACCTGTATTGCACACACCAGCAGTGACGTGTTTACCTGCACACACCAGGAGTGACGTGTTTACCTGTATTGCACACACCAGCAGTGACGTGTTTACCTGTATTGCACACACCAGGAGTGACGTGTTTACCTGTATTGCACACACCAGCAGTGACGTGTTTACCTGTGTTGCACACACCATGAGTGACGTGTTTACCTGTATTGCACACACCAGGAGTGACGTGTTTACCTGTATTGCACACACCAGCAGTGACGTGTTTACCTGCACACACCAGGAGTGACGTGTTTACCTGTATTGCACACACCAGCAGTGACGTGTTTACCTGTGTTGCACACACCAGCAGTGACGTGTTTACCTGTATTGCACACACCAGCAGTGACGTGTTTACCTGTATTGCACACACCAGCAGTGACGTGTTTACCTATGTTGCACACACCAGCAGTGACGTGTTTACATGTACTGCACACACCAGCAGTGATGTGTTTACCTGTATTGCACACACCAGGAGTGACGTGTTTACCTGTGTTGCACACACCAGCAGTGACGTGTTTACCTGTGTTGCACACACCAGCAGTGACGTGTTTACCTGTATTGCACACACCAGCAGTGACGTGTTTACCTGTGTTGCACACACCAGCAGTGACGTGTTTACCTGTATTGCACACACCAGCAGTGACGTGTTTACCTGTGTTGCACACACCATGAGTGACGTGTTTACCTGTATTGCACACACCAGCAGTGACGTGTTTACCTGTATTGCACACACCAGCAGTGACGTGTTTACCTGTATTGCACACACCAGGACTGACGTGTTTATCTGTACACACCAGCAGTGACGTGTTTACCTGCACACACCAGCAGTGACGTGTTTATCTGCACACACCAGCAGTGACGTGTTTACCTGTATTGCACACACCAGCAGTGACGTGTTTACCTGTATTGCACACACCAGCAGTGACGTGTTTACCTGTATTGCACACACCAGCAGTGACGTGTTTACCTGTATTGCACACACCAGCAGTGACGTGTTTACCTGTATTGCACACACCAGCAGTGACGTGTTTACCTGTATTGCACACACCAGGAGTGACGTGTTTACCTGTATTGCACACACAAGGAGTGATGTGTTTACCTGTTTTGCACACACCAGGAGTGACGTGTTTACCTGTATTGCACACACCAGGAGTGACGTGTTTACCTGTATTGCACACACCAGGAGTGATGTGTTGACCTGCACACACCAGGCGTGATGTGTTTACCTGTATTGCACACACCAGGAGTGACGTGTTTACCTGTATTGCACACACCAGGAGTGACGTGTTTACCTGTATTGCACACACCAGGAGTGATGTGTTGACCTGCACACACCAGGCGTGACGTGTTTACCTGTATTGCACACACCAGGAGTGACGTGTTTACCTGTATTGCACACAGCAGCAGTGACGTGTTTACCTGTATTGCACACACCAGGAGTGACGTGTTTACCTGTATTGCACACACCAGGAGTGACGTGTTTACCTGTATTGCACACACCAGGAGTGACGTGTTTACCTGTATTGCACACACCAGGAGTGATGTGTTTACCTGTATTGCACACACCAGGAGTGATGTGTTTACCTGTATTGCACACACCAGGAGTGACGTGTTTACCTGTATTGCACACACCAGGAGTGACGTGTTTACCTGTATTGCACACACCAGGAGTGACGTGTTTACCTGTATTGCACACACCAGGAGTGATGTGTTGACCTGCACACACCAGGCGTGACGTGTTTACCTGTATTGCACACACCAGGAGTGACGTGTTTACCTGTATTGCACACAGCAGCAGTGACGTGTTTACCTGTATTGCACACACCAGGAGTGACGTGTTTACCTGTATTGCACACACCAGCAGTGACGTGTTTACCTGTATTGCACACTCCAGGAGTGACGTGTTTACCTGTATTGCACACACCAGGAGTGACGTGTTTACCTGTATTGCACACACCAGAATGATGGAGGCGAGCAGGAAGCTGGAGAGTTGCTGCCACTTGTTGTCCGGGTTCTGTTCCAAAGAAACAAAATGCCTCCATGTGAGCAGACTACATTTCATCTTTAAAACCTGCACTTTAGTTCTTTGAATGAATTCGTCTAATATATACCTGCACAAGTGTATTGTATTGTATGTTCTATCCGTTATGGCCTGGTGTAGCCAGTATGACGACTGTGCAATCATTTTACTGCGGAAACAAAGCGACATTGAAGCCGGATAAACGAATGGTTGGAGCATTCCTATGAACATTTATACAGTCAAATACCAGAATCCGGACAGTACAGGTAACAGAAGTCCGTATTAACGATGTGTGACAGTACAGACGGTATCACCTAAAACACTGTGTAACAGTACAGACGTCATCACACACAACACCGTGTGACAGTACAGACGTCATCACCTACAACACTGTGTAACAGTACAGACGTCATCACCTACAACACTGTGTAACAGTACAGACGTCATCACCTACAACAGCATCTGACAGAACAGACGTCATCACCTTCATCACCGTGTGACAGTACAGACGTCATCACCTTCATCACCGTGTGACAGTACAGACGTCATCACCTACAACACCATGTGACAGTACAGACGTCATCACCTACAACACCCTGTGACAGTACAGACGTCATCACCTACAACACCATGTGACAGTACAGACGTCATCACCTACAACACTGTGTGACAGTACAGACGTCATCACCTACAACACCGTGTGACAGTACAGACGTCATCACCTACAACACTGTGTGACAGTACAGACGTCATCACCTACAACACCATGTGACAGTACAGACGTCATCACCTACAACACCATGTGACAGTACAGATGGCATCACCTACAACAGCGTGTGACAGTACAGACGTCATCACCTACAACACCGTCTGACAGTACAGACGTCATCACCTACAACAGCATCTGACAGTACAGACGTCATCACCTACAACACCATGTGACAATACAGACGTCATCACCTACAACACCATGTGACAATACAGACGTCATCACCTACAACACCGTGTGACAGTACAGATGGCATCACCTACAACACCGTGTGACAGTACAGACGTCATCACCCACAACACTGTGTGACAGTACAGACGTCATCACCTACAACACCGTGTAAGAATACAGACGTCATCACCTACAACACTGTGTGACTGTACAGACGTCATCACCTACAACACCGTGTGACAGTACAGACGTCATCACCTACAACAGCATCTGACAGTACAGACGTCATCACCTACAACACCATGTGACAGTACAGACGTCATCACCTACAACACCATGTGACAATACAGACGTCATCACCTACAACACCGTGTGACAGTACAGACGTCATCACCTACAACAGCATCTGACAGTACAGACGTCATCACCTTCAACACCGTGTGACAGTACAGACCTCATCACCTTCAACACCGTGTGACAGTACAGACGTCATCACCTTCAACACCGTGTGACAGTACAGACCTCATCACCTTCAACACCGTGTGACAGTACAGACGTCATCACCTTCAACACCGTGTGACAGTACAGACGTCATCACCTACAACACCGTGTGACAGTACAGACGTCATCACCTACAACACCATCTGACAGTACAGACGTCATCACCTACAACACCATGTGACAGTACAGACGTCATCACCTACAACACTGTGTGACAGTACAGACGTCATCACCTACAACACCATGTGACAGTACAGACGTCATCACCTACAACACCGTGTGACAGTACAGACGTCATCACCTACAACACCATGTGACAGTACAGACGTCATCACCTACAACACCATCTGACAGTACACACGTCATCACCTACAACACCATGTGACAGTACAGACGTCATCACCTACAACACTGTGTGACAGTACAGACGTCATCACCTACAACACCATGTGACAGTACAGACGTCATCACCTACAACACCATGTGACAGTACAGACGTCATCACCTACAACACCGTGTGACAGTAAGACCTACCTGGAAGGGGGTCGGCATGCGGACGATGCTGTAAACAACGACGATGATGATAAGGATAACCTGTAGCAGAATGTACTGAAACAGAAATGACGTCATCAGTCACACAAGAGAAGTCTCAGCTGTTGCAATCTGGGGACGCCGGCAATATTCCCCCCACGATCAGCTGTACGCCTCCTGGCTTACGTCCTCAGCAACTCATCATGCTGAAAATCTGAATGTTTGGAAAAACAACAACTCATAAAATAATACTGAAATACATTGATTCACAGCAGATAGAACTGTAATTATCATACACTGTACAATAACTATGATTTAGTTGCAGGCAAGTCTAAAGTGTAACCTGCACACACCAGGAGTAACGTGCAAACAGAGGTGATTATCACTCAGACGCCATCCCTTTATGAAATATGAGTGAGTGAGTGAGTGAGTATGGTTTTACGCCGCTTTTTAGCAATATTCCAGCAATATCACGGCGGGGGACACCAGAAATGGGCTTCACACATTGTACCCATGTCGGGAATCGAACCCGGGTCTTCGGCGTGACGAGCGAACGCTTTAACCACTAGGCTACCCGACCGCCCTTATGAAATATGAAGAGTCTACCATTAAAGGCGTGGTGGAGGAAGGTCAGATTAGACCCTGAAGGTCAATGAGGCCATGCCTCCTCACGAAGCACTTATACGATATAATGAAATATGGTGTTGTTGTTGTTGTTGTTGTTGCTGTTGTTGTTGTTGTTGTTGTTGCATATCAAATGAAAGCTCTCTTCATAAGTCTCACTAACATACAATTTACCAGCAACTGCTATATACATCTTTCACACGCTATGTAAGTACAATAATCCTGGGGTCAACGTTACACGCCATTTCCCAACTTACCAAGGCCAGGGATATGCGTTTACTCTGTCGGGCGCCGAAGAAGCCAAACAGGCTGACCAGGAGAGTGACCGGTCCAGCGATCAGAAGAAACAGACTGGTGTCCGCGTACAGCTCTCTCGCCCTGGCCACGTCAGCAGCGTCCAGCTTCGTGATGGAGAAGTCCAGGAGAGGCTCCAGGGTGGACATCAACGACCCCATGATGATGAAGTCGACGCTCTTCACCTGCAGCACGGCATCAACCCAGCTATATGACGGATGTCTGTAAATAATCGAGTCTGGACAAGAGAGTCCAGTGACTGACGTCATGAGCATTGATCCACGCATTTGGGATACGATGACATTCATCAACCAAGTATGTAGATAACTGTTCCTGGACAAGACAATCCAGTGATTGGCACCACGAGCAAGGATCTAGGCAATTGGGATTATTTGACATGCATCATCCTTGTCAGCGAGCCAAACCACCCATTCTCATTATTCAATTATTACGAAAAACAGGCTGCTGAAGAATAATTCTAACCCGGATCTTAAGGGAGCTCAAATATGGGGAGGTTCATGAATCTCGTGAACGCCAAGAAGAAGAACCTGTCCTCACTCTCTTATGCTTGGTCAACTGGTGAGGAATTTTCACAATCTTTTAAGCAATATACCACCACCATAACGACGGGGACATGGTTGAAGACCTTCTTACTATGACAGAACGTCTACTTATTATGGTAGAACGTCTATTCACTATAGTCGAAAATCTACCCACTATGAAAGAAGATCTACTCACTGTCATGGAATATCTACTCATTATGAGAGAATGTCTACTCGCTATGGTTGAACGTCTACTTACTATGGCGGAACGTCTACTCACTATGATATAACGTCTACTCACTATGATATAACGTCTACTCACTATGATATGACGTCTACTCACTATGATATAACGTCTACTTACTATGATATAACGTCTACTCACTATGATATGACGTCTACTCACTATGATATAACGTCTTCTTACTATGATAGAATGTCTACTCACTATGAAAGAAGATCTTCTCACTGTGATGGAATATCTACTCATTATGACAGAACGTCTACTCACTAGAACGTCTACTCACTTTGGTGGAACGTCTACTCACTACGATATAACGTCTACTCACTATGATAGGACGTCTACTCACTATGTTGGAACGCCTACTTACTATGGTGGGACGTCTACTCACTATGAAAGAAGATCTACTCACTTTGGTGTAAAGCGTACAAACTATGATATAAAATCTACAAACTATGGTGGAATGTCTACTCACTATGGTAGAACGTCTACACACTATAATATAACGTCAACTCACTATGGTAGAACCTCTACTCACTATGATGGAAGATCTACTCACTGTGATGGAATATCTGCTCATTATGCTAGAATATCTACTCACTATGATGGAACGCCTACTCACTATGATATATATAACCTTTCATTCCTCCATAAAGTAGAGTACAAAAAAAGGAAAAAAAAAAGGTGGACATTTAAGAGAACAACATATTATTTTGCATTAAATATGCAGAATGGTAATGCTGATATATTGAGAGTTAGTTGAACACCATTTTAAACATTGGCTTGACATATTTAACACACACTCTTGCAAAGTCATTAGCATCTTTATCACATAGTCTGTAATCTGTTCAATGAGCTTTGCTGAGTCCATACCATGCAGGTAGCAGCTAAAGTCAACATCACCGATATTGATCAACTCCATCCAGAGCTGATCTACTCACTATGATATACCGTCTACTCACTATGATATAACGTCTACTCACTATGATAAAACATCTACTCACTATGGTGGAACGTCTACTCACTATGGTAGAACGTCTACTGACTATTATATAACGTTTACTGACTATGATATAATGTCCTCTCACTATAGTAATACGTCTACTCACTATGATATAACGTCTACTCACTATTATATAACGTCTACTCACTGTGATATAACGTCTACTCACTATGATATAACGTCTACTCACTATGATAGAATGTCTACTCACTATGATATAACATCTACTCACTGTGATATAACGTCTACTCACTATGATATAACGTCTACTCACTGTGATATAACGTCTACTCACTATGATATAACGTCTACTCACTATGATATAACGTCTACTCAATATGATATAACGTCTACTCACTGTGATATAACGTCGACTCACTTTGATAGAACGTCTACGCACTGTGATATAACGTCTACTCACTGTGATATAACGTCTACTCACTATGATATAACGTCTACTCACTGTGATATAACGTCTACTCACTATGATATAACGTCTACTCACTGTGATATAACGTCTACTCACTATGATATAACGTCTACTCACTGTGATATAACGTCTACTCACTGTGGTATGACGTCTACTGACTATGGTATAACGTTTACTGACTATGATATAACGTCTACTCACTGTGACATAACGTCTACTCACTGTGATATAACGTCTACTCACTATGATATAACGTCTACTCACTGTGATATAACGTCTACTCACTATGATATAACGTCTACTCACTGTGATATAACGTCTACTCACTATGATATAACGTCTACTCACTGTGATATAACGTCTACTCACTGTGGTATGACGTCTACTGACTATGGTATAACGTTTACTGACTATGATATAACGTCTACTCACTGTGACATAACGTCTACTGACTATGATATAACGTCTACTCACTGTGATATAACGTCTACTCACTATGGTAGAACGTCTACTCACTATGGTGGAACGTCTACTCACTATGGTAGAACGTCTACTCACTATGGTGGAACGTCTACTCACTATGATATAACGTCTACTCACTGTGATATAACGTCTACTCACTATGATATAACGTCTACTCACTGTGATATAACGTCTACTCACTGTGGTATGACGTCTACTGACTATGGTATAACGTTTACTGACTATGATATAACGTCTACTCACTGTGACATAACGTCTACTGACTATGATATAACGTCTACTCACTATGATATAACGTCTACTCACTATGGTAGAACGTCTACTCACTATGGTGGAACGTCTACTCACTATGGTAGAACGTCTACTCACTATGGTGGAACGTCTACTCACTATGGTAGAACGTCTACTCACTATGGTGGAACGTCTACTCACTGTGGTGGAACGTCTACTCACTATGGTAGAACGTCTACTCACTATGGTAGAACGTCTACTCACTATGGTAGAACGTCTACTCACTATGGTAGAACGTCTACTCACTATGGTGGAACGTCTACTCACTGTGGTGGAACGTCTACTCACTATGGTGGAACGTCTACTCACTATGGCTATTCCGTTGAGTACCAGGAGAGCCAGGCGACACACATCAGAGAAACTGTCTGTCTCCATGACACCGACGTCCGAAGGATGACTTCACCGCACCCTCTCACCTACATGACTCTCAAAGCTTCTGGTAAATATCAACACTTGTGTTAGTTCAGCCGAGGTTTAGGATCCAAGTCTGACTCGCTGGGCAGATTCACGGACAGTCAAATACAGCTGACGTCACGGCAGAACATATATCGGCCTGAAATAGAAGCCAAATCTCCAATGGCAATCTCCCCTGTCACACACGGCGCACGCTCGAGCATGATAACGGTACTTTCACGTTCCACAACGTCATCGTATAAATAGATCCTCAAAGTGACATATGAAGGTAATATGTGTTATCGAAGTAATTAATAGATATTAATAGATACTCATATACGAATATAGTTAGATAATACCCGCTGTGTTTACAAAGCGTTGACACTGGTGTGCTGGTTATGGGGATATACAGTTGACTATATATTGGTGCTTAGCGTGAAGATAACGGTTAATCCTTGTAATATGTCCAGCGTGGAGAGTCTTGCTGTCGCTCAAGACCCCTCTCTCCCCCTTCTCTAGTTGCTAGGACTGACAGTTATCCGCACACGTGACAATCACTCGACACCTCGATAGATTTCAGATTACACATTACGTCAGAACAAATACAACGTGTCTCTGTGGTTCCAGGATGAGGGTTCGAATCCACTGGTTCATCCTAGTTTGTCACCACCACACCACCCCACCACCACACCACCCCACCACCCCACCAACACAACACCACACCCCACCACCCCACCACCCCACCACCACACCACCACACCACCCCATCACCCCACCACCCCACCACCACACCACCACACCACCCCATCACCCCACCACCCCATCACCACACCACCACACCACCCCACCACACCACCACACCACCACACCACCCCACCACCCCATCACCCCACCACCCCACCACCACACCACCACACCACCCCATCACCCCACCACCCCACCACCACACCACCACACCCCACCACCACACCACCACACCACCACACCACCACACCACCACACCACCACACCACCACACCCCACCACCACACCACCACACCACCCCACCACCCCACCACCACACCACCACACCCCACCACCACACCACCACACCACCACACCCCACCACCACACCACCACACCATCTCATAGGCTTCAACACGTCACGATGCAGTGTTCTAAGAGGAACCTATCTGTCCTCATCATAATAATCGTACAAATGTCTGAGAAAGTTGCTATATTCAGATATGAAATAATGTTTGGAATATTCGAACCACAAGTTTTGTTTTGTTTGTTTGTTGTTTAACGCCACACTCAGCAATATTCCAGCTATTTGACGGCGGTCTGTGATTAATTGAGGCTGGACCAAACAATGTAGTGACTGACACCATGAGCATCAATCCACTTAGTTCACGACAGAAAGGATATTCTAGGGGGGAAACGGCCGAGATGATAACTGTAATTTGGACAGCTCATGCATTAATCTGAGCTGTCAAGTTTACGACCTTTAACTCGACAAGTCAAATCGTCTCCACGCGGGGAGTCTACGATACCCGATAACCCGGTTGGACAATGGCATTCATCGTAATATATTACATGCCCACAAGACAGAAACCAAGTCAGCGAGCCTAACCACCCGACCCCGTTAGTCGCCTCTTACGACAAGCATAGTCGCCTTTCACGTGCATGAATGAAACGTTAAACCGTTAAACACGTTAAACCTCTATCTAGACTTGCCTTGCTGTTGACCACCTGAGCTGAAGCAATGATAAAAAAATAAAGATATCTAGACTTGAATAGGAAGCACAGCGACGGAGGGGGTGGGGTGGGGGTGGGGTGGGAATCACTGGGGTCATGACCCCTCTTTCGTTTTTGACACGTTTTTTTTCGGTTTGCAATCAATTCAACAGACTATTCATAAGAGCGAAAAAACACACAAAAATATATATCGACCTGTCTCAAATCCTTCCCGGTGACCCCTGCTCATTCCATGCTGACGTATGTTGTTTTCCAACTACTTATCATATACACAATAATAAGGACTAAATAAAATATATCAAACCACATTTTAATTCGACAAGAGTTATGTCAACTGTATATATATATATATATATATATATATATATATATATATATATATATATATATATATATATATATTCTGCACCCACCGCAAGGGTACCCCCCCCCCCCCCCCCCCCCCCCAACACACACACACACACACCTCCCCCCTCCCGGTCAGGTGTGGCTGATAAACGTCCCACATCGCCTTTGATGTATAGTGAAATATTTCCATTGGTGGGAAGATTTTAATTATGTTCTTGTGGACCAGGGCAGCGAGGGAATGTAGATACCCTGCTGCAGGCGATAATGTCTATAATCTCTATATATCTACTGCCCGCTGTCAGACGGGGGTTTGCATTGTCACGGAGTATATGATTAAGCTATTGCTTATAAACTCTGTAGGAGAGATATTAATTGATAAAATATTGGCATAACTGCGTATTGGGCTTATAGGGACCTATAACAGTTCATTAAACGTATTGCCGTTCCGTGGTCAATATAAGCCATGACTCTACAACACGCCTGGTCAGGAGTGGGTCATCTAAGCCACGGAGTGATTGGTCCATCGGACGTTACTATAATGATACGGCATCCTCACAACCTTGTTATGACTCCGGTCATTGGATCAATGTGCACTCAACAATCATTTTCAACTCCCTGGGGAGTATACAACCCAGGCTGCCTGTCAGGTCCTAGAAGGTTAACAACCACATTGTCATGTCATCCTACCGGGTACCCATCCACTGCTGGGTGAACAGAGGCACATGTCGAATGAAGTCACCTGCCCAAGAAGACACCACACGCGTTACGTGTGCTTCAGTGGGTTATCTCCCAAAACCCCTACATCCCATTTCCCCTACAACCCAGTTCCCCTACAATTAGTTAAAACAACACGCGGCATTTACCTGTCTGGCATTATGAGCTCACCTAAAGGAGAGATTAAGGTCTGGAGTAGAGGTAGTAGAAATGAAAGGGGTAGAGCTATAGGGGATTAGGGGACTTAAAGGAAAGTTATTAATAAAAAGAATTAATATGTGTAATGAAAGATGCCTGTATGATAAGAAGACATTTTTTTAGAAATAACAAAAATAACAATAGGAAGACGATTTACAGTTGAGATGGCTAGGTTTAGTATATAGATACTTGGAACTGACTAACATGACATCAACAAGGCAATGTTGAGTTTGTTATGTCACGGAGAGGAAAGCCCAAGTTCTATTTGATGTTTATCTTCACACTAAGAACGTCGAGAGACTGACTTGCGTACACTGGTAGTGTGTCAAGTCCACATGTAGAGGAAGACGCACGACAGTAGGAACCGTGATGAGGAATGCTACAGAGCATAACCATGCCCCTGAGGATAGCCAGAAGGTCCGGTTTATGAGCACCCTGAGGAAGAGAGCGAGAGAAGAGTCAACCCCGATGCACACCCTCCACAACGACGAACTCTCCAACTTGAACAACGACGAGACAGGAATGATGCCATCCTTCCCCACAATGAGCAGCGCGTCGTACCGGCACAGACAGAAGACGATTCCTGTTTTGCCACAGACAAGATTGGAGGTGGATCTCCAGGATTCCTGGACGCAGACAGCAGATGGACGACCCTTCCTCCTGTTTGCTGGCGGTGATGATGACAATATTCTGGCGTTTGGCAGTCTAGAGAGTCTCGAGGCCTTGCAGTCACTGATATTCCATACATGGGTGGAACGTTCACAGGCAGAATGAGCTAAGAATTTACAGCTCGACTTTGGAGCAGCTCCAAAGGGCAGGAAGAGAGTGTACAGAGAGGTGGAGAACCGTCTCTGCCGCCTGAAGGACGAGTTGAAAAGAGAGGTGAAATTCCCAATGCAGTTTCTAGATGCGGTTGGCCATCTCCTCAGGCTGGGATAAAGAGTGAATTGAACATTTGAGAAGAAATTTATCATAATGTATTATGAATTTTGAAAAATGAACATTTTATTATAATGAATTATGAATTGTGAATAATATCAAAATCGTATTTAAATATTTATCTCAATCTATTCGTGTTTCTTGGGTTGTTCCATTGTATGAAATAGGTAACAGACTAGGGATTAGCAGTGCCTTGGACCGTGAACTTTGTTGTCTTACGCTGTAGGGGAAATGGGATGTAGGGGGCACCCATCCAAGGACTCTCCGCGATCGACGTTGCTGAACTTCACCTGATTTGTGACCTGTGTGCTGTGCATAGGACCACGTGCCACCTGTCCGAACTGTGTATGTAGTCATACATATGTGTGGTTGTAGCAACATAGCTGCGTGTCCAGCAGGAGGTGTAGGATAACATTATGTACGCTGTGTCGTGCAGTAGGTGTAGGAATAAAGGATTATATCATGTATCATGTGTCGTGCAGTAGGTGTGGGATTATAGGACTATAGCATCTATCTTGTGTCGTGCAGTAGGTGTGAGATTATAGGACTATATCATCTATCTTGTGTCGTGCAGTAGGTGTTGAATTATAGGTATATATCATCTATCTTGTGTCGTGCAGTAGGTGTGGGATTATAGGATTATATCATCTATCTTGTGTCGTGCAGTGGGTGTGGGATTATAGGACTATATCATCTATCTTGTGTCGTGCAGTAGGTGTGGGATTATCGGACTATAACATCTTTCTTGTGTCGTGCAGTAGGTGTGGGATTATAGGATTATATCATCTATCTTGTGTCGTGCAGTAGGTGTGAGATTATTGGACTATAACATCTATCTTGTGTCGTGCAGTATTTGTGGGATTATTTGACTATATCATCTATCATTTGTCGTGCAGTAGGTGTGGGATTATAGGACTATATCATCTATGATGTGTCGTGCAGTAGGTGTGGGATTATAGGAACATAGCATCTGTCTTGTGTCGTGCAGAAGGTGTGGGATTATAGGAATATAGCATCTATCTTGTGTCGTGCAGTAGGTGTGGGATTATAGGACTATATCATCTATCATGTGTCGTGTAGTAGGTGTGGGATTATAGGACTATATCATCCGTCTTTTGTTGTGCAGTAGGTGTGGGATTATAGGACTATATCATCTATCATGTGTCGTGCAGTAGGTGTGGGATTTTAGGACTATATCATCTATCTTGTGTCGTGCAGTAGGTGTGGGATTATAGGACTATATCATCTATCTTG